AAGGATAGTTAGTTAGACTTGCTGATTGTTGAAGGATAGTTAGTTAGACTGGGCTGGTTGTTGGTGAGGGTTAACTGACTCAGTGGTTGTAATAAGTTTGTTAGTCGGTACAGATGTTGTATTCAGTTTAGTTAGATCTAAGCCAGTGTAACAGATTGATTTAGGTCAGTCTCCAGTAGCTATTCTTAGTCTGCCAATTAATTTTTTTAGCTACAGTGTGACAGTTGGCACCAGCATGAGGGGTTTAGGGATAAACCTTTACCTCACTGGTCAGATTAGTGTTGGTGTTAATCTGTTACTAGGACCAAATATATCACAGACTCTTCACTCTTGCTGTAAATCCGGCAGCTTATTTCTCTCAGCGCGCCACATGCGAGACCCCTGAACAGGACCGGTTCATTGTCCACCTGTCTTCTGTTCATGTGGGGAAATGGTACCTGGATACAACCCCACTTTGGGTCCTTCAGTAAAACTCTTAGTCCCAGATTGCTCCACACACTGCAATGAATAATATCTAGCCTTTGTTCTTATAATAAGCACATTTTCTTTACATTAAGCAGATTAGTGAGACGCTTTGCCTAAAGTATACAACAAATTACATTTATAATATGAAACTGTGAATGGTTTCAAGTACTTAATAACTAGCTATCTCATTCCACTGGCAGATCATGTACCTGCTCAAAGTACGGGTAAATGCACTTATTTTAGGAAATTGTTACTTATTTTAAGATGGATATTTTACAGTGGAGGGGCTGCTAGATGTCAACCTCGGTCAGGGACGTCTTCAACTCTTCCATGTGAGAGAAGGACATTCCAGAAGAACCAGAACCAGCTGCATTCTGTGTGGCCTTCTGTCGCGGCTGACTGGGGGTTTCAAAAGTAGACAGAAGAGGAACATAGAGGCACGGATCTATAAATCCTTCCTATGCTAGAGAAAAGTAGAAGGTTAGAGGCAGTGGCTTCACCTTGGAGACGAACACAGCTATACCGATGAGCTCTGATCCAGGGGGAGGGGCGGCCTAG